GTTGTGAGGGGCGTGCCGGGATGGGTGGCGGGACGCATGTGAGCGCGGCCGCTGGGGCCTTCGGTGGAGCTCCCTATGGAGCCACGAAACGTGTGAGGGGTGTGCCGAATTGGGTGGGTGTGGGTGACGCATGTGAGCGCCGCCACTGGGGCCTCTGGTGGATGATGGGGCCACGAAACCTGTCAGGGATGTGCCGAAATGGGTGTGCGGGACGCATGCGCATGTGAGCGCCGCCACTGGGGCCTTCGGTGGAGCTCCCTATGGGGCCACGAAACGCGTGAGGGGTGTGCCGAAATGGGTGTGGGTGACGCATGCGGGCGCGGGCACTGGGGCCTTCGGTGGAGCTCCCTATGGGGCCACGAAACGTGTGAGGGGTGTGCCGAAATGGGTGTGCGGGACGCATGCGGACGGCAGCACTGGGGCCTTTCGGTGGAGCTCCCTGTGGGGCCACGAAACGTGTGAGGGGTGTGCCGAAATGGGTGTGCGGGACGCATGCGGTGCGGCAAGCACTGGGGCCCTATGGACCACAGAACGTGTGAGGGGTGTGGCCGATTGGGTGTGCGTGGAACGCATGCGGCGGTTCAGCACTGGGGCCTTCGGTGGGGCTCCCCTAGGGGCCACAAAGCGTGTGAGGGTGTGCCGAATTGGGTGTGTCGTGCGCAATGGCGGGCGGCAGCACTGGCCCTCGGGGGCTCGCTATGGCCCCCGAAAGCGTGTGAGGGGTGTGCCCCGAAAAAAAAAAAAAAAAAAAAAAAAAACACAAAACAAAAAAAATTGGGTGTGGCGTGTGTGGCGTGAACGCATGCGGGCGGCAGCACCTGGGCCTTCGGTGGGGGTCCCCCTATGGGCCACGAAGCGTGTGAGGGGTGTGCCGAATTGGGTGTGCGGGACGCATGCGGGCGGCAGCATTGGGGCCTTCGGTGGGGCTCCCTATGGGGCCACGAAACGTGTAAGGGGTGTGCCGAATGTGGTGTGGGTGACGCATGCGAGCGGCAGCACTGGTGCCTTCGGTGGGGCTCCCTATGGGGCCACGAAACGTGTGAGGGGTGTGCCGAATTGGGTGCGGCGCTGTATTGGGTGTGCGTGACGCATGCGGGCGGCAGCACTGGGGCCTTCGGTGGGGCTCCCTTATGGGGCCACGAAACGTGTGAGGGGTGTGCCGAATTGGGTGTGCGGACGCATGCGGGCGGCAGCACTGGGGCCTTCGGTGGGGCTCCTTATGGGGCCACGAAACGTGTGAGGGGTGTGCCGAATTGGGTGTGGGTGACGCATGCGGGCGGCAGCACTGGGGCCTTCGGTGGGGCTCCCTATGGGGCCACGAAACGTGTGAGGGGTGTGCCGAATTGGGTGTGCGGGACGCATGCGGGCGGCAGCACTGGGGCCTTCGGTGGGGCTCCCTATGGGGCCACGAAACGTGTGAGGGGTGTGCCGAATTGGGTGTGCGGGACGCATGCGGGCGGCAGCACTGGGGCCTTCGGTGGGGCTCCCTATGGGGCCACGAAACGTGTGAGGGGTGTGCCGATTTGGGTGTGCATGACGCATGCGGGCGGCGGAGAGGAGGAGGGGGCAGAGGAGGAGGGGAGAACGCGGGGACCGTTTCTTCAAAACGAGGACCCAACACCACAGGATGGTTGGGAAAAAACTAAATCGTTGATTCGAATAACGTTGATTCGAATGACGTCCAGATGGCATTCGCGTTCTTGCAAGTACTGGGAGAAGCGCGTCCAATGGCGCCGAATAGGGGTCCTGCTGACGCTGTGTGGAGGCAGGCGCTTCGTGGAGATCTAGCTGCGGGAGACAAGAAGCATGTGCTTTCTCTCCTGGGGGATTTGCGACAATGTTATAAACGTGTGCAACACCCGCAACTAGTTCGCACGGCGATTGAATGGAAATCTTCCCTTTACTCGCCCAGATTCGCCCTGCACGCGTACGGGTGGTCCAGAATTTGAAGCACGGATGGAGTGGTTTCTGAGCCGATCGAACCGGGGCAGGGGGTAGTTGCGGGGGGTAGTCCTGCAACATTCGAGATCAAGTGCTACTGCATCCCGTGTGTGAATGCATATCTATAGGCTTTGCCCCGGCGCTTACGGTTCATATTGCTGATTTTGGGTTGAGCGAATATAACTCATCTATTTCAGAGTGTGTGCCCAACGTGGCTGTGGCGCTTGCGTTCCTGGTGGAATATCTATCCAACTTATTTAATGTATCATTCTCTCTCAAGAAATTCTGCGTGACGGGGGACGGTGTTGAATTGGTTCGATCAGCTCCAGCAGTTCCCGGGATGTACGCGGGCACTTGCGACCCCGCCATCATCGATTCAGGCGTGGATTTTTCGCCGGGCAAGCGTCGCAAGGTGACGGGGGGTAAAGGCAAGAGGAAGGAGAGGTTGAGAGGTTCGCCAAAGGAAAGCTTCGCCTTCGTCAGATCGGGCCCCCCCAGAACCCCAGAAAATCCATGGCCAAGGTTTGGTTTTGCGGTGTCGAGCCGGCGTTGACCTGCGGGGAGGAGGTGGTGGGCTGGGCGCCCCCAGAGATTCGAAAACTACGTTCTCAGGCAGGGTGCTTCCTAGGAATGTCAAGCTGCGGAGCAGACATCGTGCTTGCCCTGTCGCTGGAACCGGGGAAGGGCCCTCTTCGCCATGCATGTGCCACGGCAACCAGGTATGCGAAGGAGTTTTGGCAGACTACATCGCTTTTGCACAGGCAGGGTGACTGCTTGACAGCAGGCGAGCTGGCCAAGATCGCCCCGATTGTCCAGAGACACCTGGGGGCGCAACCTCGGAAGTCTAGGAAGTTCAGAGCCTGGGGACCTGTTGGGGACGTGCTTCTTTGGATGAGCAAAGCTGGTTGGGATGAAGTGGGGCCTGGGCACTTCGCGAGACGAAGCGGGGGCCCGCTCGTTCTGACGGCCGCGCCCTACTGTCAAGTAGCCAAGTACTTCGCTTGCGATCTAGGTAAACAGATGATTTCTGAACGAATGGTCAAGTATTTTAGAGATAGTGACAACGAACGTGCAGCAGCTATCCTGGACAGGGGTCTGTGGGTGGAACCTCCGAGGGCCTTCTGGAGATCCAAGTCGTCCAAGAAAAGCAAGATCCATCGTCGAATGGTTAGGCAGTTGTTCACCCGCTCGTATGCCGCGGCAAGCGTTTTACACACATGGGGATATCAAGTATCTCCGAACTGCCCGCTCTGCAGCAGCTACCAGAATGGGGCGATACACTCAGTGTGGCGCCGCCTCTTTGAGTGCCAGGGGCTGCGGGAAAAACGAAGTGAGTTTCTTGGGGAAGAGCCGGTCGCGCGAGGCTTGGAGGCTGGCGCCGACGACCCGCTGCTCAGTTGTCTGTGGCACCCGTTCCCGTCGGGCATCGAGGATTGTTGTTGGGAGGGGAAGGTCAACTATGTGGGCTCAGATGGGGAACCTTGCGAGAAAAAAAACAAATCACTGGCCAAGCTTTTGTTTATTCAGATGGCTCCTGCTTGGGACCCACTCTACCACTTGCTAGGGCAGGATGGGCGGTGGTGGCTGTCGATGAAGAAGGAAGGTCTCTCATGGGAGTCTTTGGGCATGGGCCTGGATTTTTAACACAGAGTGATATCTTTGGGGAAGTGCACGCGCTGTTGCAGGCGCTCGAGCACCTTGATTTTGATGGGGATGATGTGCCAGAAGAGCACACGATCCACGTGGACTGCAAAAGTCTTTTCGGAGGAGCCGAAAACGATTTCACGGCGACCTCTGGCTCTTCGCCCCTCGCAGAAGTGTGGGGAATAATATACCAGAGAAGCTACCCGAGGTGGCGACTCAAACAAATTCGAGCTCATGTGACTGATGAGAATCTGTCGGGGGTTGCTCTACGACGCAAGAAAGGATATGGAAAGGCGGATGAATATGCTACAGACGGAGTACATTCACATCCGGATGTTCTCACACACACACACACCTTCAAATATGACATGGCCCAGGCTGGCTGGGATGAGATTGCGATGCCAGTAGCTAGGTTTTTGTCGGATATTCCCACGGCCAAGGAGCTGTATGGGAAGTAAAATCGTGATCCGAAGCCCCCGAGGCCGAAGTACGTTTCCAATGGCCGCGCCCACCAAGTGCTTTGGAACGGGAACCGATGGCACTGCGTGCAGTGTGCTAGGTGCTTCAATGATACACGGGCCACACGTAGATGTGCTGTTCTAACACCAGCCTTAAGAAGGCTGGCCACAATTCAATTAGATCGCCCGCACAAGCTACACGTTTGTACAGTGGTTGAAACTGGTCTTCCAATAGTTTTCTGTATTCGTTGCGGGGCCTACACGTCGGGCTTTCCTCGAAGTTTAGGGCCCCCCTGCTACAATATCTATGTGCAGCAGAGACGCCAGATACTACCTGGCAAACTCCCCTGGCCTAAGGGCCAGCATGTCACGAATCCCTGGCCCCTCAATCCTGAATGCCCCAAAGGGGGTGAATGGTGGGACCTGCTGTACTAGAGTAATTCATGTTTAGCAGCATTTTCGTTCCTGGAGTGGATGGGTGAAGAGAGAGAGAGAGAGAGAGAGAGAGAGAAAGAGAGAGAGAGAGAGAGACAGAGCCACTGGAAAATGAGGAGGAGGAGGAGGAGGAGGAGGAGGAGGAGGAGAGGATGAGGAGAGGATGAGGATGATGATGAGATAGGATGATGATGATGATGATGAATGATGATGGATGATGAGAGATGAGGAGGAGGGAAGAGGAGGAGTAGGAGGAAGGCGGAGGATGAGGAGGATGATGAGGGTGGACGAGGAGGAGGAGGCGGAGGCGGAGGGGAGGCAGGAGGAGGAGTAGGAGGAGGAGGCGGAGGAGGCGAAGGAGGAGGAGGAGGAGGAGGAGGAAGGAGGATGGAGGAGGAGGAGGAGGAGAGGAGGAGGAGGAGGAGGAGGAGAGAGGAGGAGGTCACTCCGGCGAACGGTCACTCCTGGGCCTGGCCGATCCTGGCCCCTCGGCCGCGCGAGGGCCGCCATCCCTCGGCGCACCTGGTGGTACAGGGAGGAGAGGGCGCTCTGCACGGCCGCGATCTGCTGCTCGGCCTCTCGCGCGCGGGGCTCCGCGCGGCTGCGCGGGGCTGCTGGAGACGAGGCTCGGCGGCTGCCGCAGGTGTGGGCATCTATTGAGGCTCTCTTGGGCCTTCTTGGAGCCATCTTGAGGTCTCGGATGGCCATCGGAAGCGAAAAGGCGAGAAGAGGCAAAACCCATTGGTTTTCTTTAAATTGTTGAAGGGTTTTGGCATCTTGGGAGCCATTTTGAGGCATCTTAGGCTATCTGGACGCTCCATTTTAGCCCCCTCCACGGCACTTGCCAAAGCCCAGGCGAGGCTTAACCGCCTCGAAGGCGCACCACCACCCCAACACGGTGTGGCACTGCAGCCAGAAACATGCAACATGTGCGGGGGCGACCCCCCGTCGAGGTCCCTGGTCGAAAGCAGCTTGGACAGCGAAGTGGCAGCGGCAATGCGCACGGAAACCAGCTCGTCGATCCGCTTTGATCCGTTTTGAAGACCCTGGGCCCCCCCTGGGCCTCCCGAGGGGTGCTCGGGAGGCCGTGGGGGCCTCCGTGGCGATCCCAGGGGCGCCCTGGACCCGGGGGCACCTCAAGCAGCGCCCGAGGTGGGGCGGACGGCGGGTGGAGCCGCGGGCCACGCCGAACAGTCGGCCCGCGCGCCACGCCCCTGCGCAACGAGCCGATGCTCCGTCATCGAAGACCCCTCGCCGACGAATGGGTTGAGCCGCGGAAAGGGGCCCGCCAAAGGAAAAAGCATAGGCTTCCGCCCCGAAACTCACGGTGCTCGCGTTCTTTTTTGGGCAATGGCTCGTTATAAATTTGCATCCGCCGCAATCCGACCACACCGGTATGGACTCCCTCCCGTCACACATGTCCAACAATACAATGCGGTGGACACCCGTTGATCCAACCATCGCGTTTTGCAACAACCGTTATCACGTTCTTACTAACGGGTGACACCCGCACGACCCCACTGGACGCGCATTTCTAAACCTTAATGAACACATTGTTTTCGATACAGTTGAAGGAGCACGTTTTCTATCATGCTGCACGAACGTGCTTGCTGTGATAAGACCCACCAGCTTGCCTGCGCGCGCGCACTTGCTGAACGTATACACCAATCATCTGTTTCCTGCCGTCCTTGCCAAACCATATCATGTGGGCCACGCGCGCGCGTTCCCGCCCGGCCCGCACGCGCATGTCAAACCATTCAAGAGCCATCACACGGCTGCTGAAACAATTCATGGTAGATGAAACAATTCATGGTAGATGACGGCCTCGTCAAGCAATCAAGTATTACAATGCGGGCCACACGCAGCGTCCCCTCCCCCGCGTGCGCGTGTCAAAGCCATCCAGTAGAACTCCTATCAGATGATCCGCCGAACGTCATCATCACCCGCCAGAGTTATGGACCTGCGCCATGGGGTCCGCGCGTCATGGTGCCTGGTCGGGTTAACCACGTGACAACTTCAAATGCATAGCTTGACTTACGGCCCCCTGAGTATTACCAACATGTTGCATGTGGATGGGTGGGATGATTGCCCGAATGTTGGGCACTCTTCGGGCTACTTTCTTTTCCTACGAACAAATGAATTATACACCCCCGCCGTGCCCATTGGGATTTTGTATATCATATGTATTTCGTACGCTGGTGTCCCGGTCTCGCCCCGACGCGCGTGCGGATCGCCTCTGTCGCGCTGCGACGTAAAACAAGTTTTTCGCGCGGCCGTTAAACCTAAACTATCGACCAGTAGCAAGACAGCCACTCCAAGTATCGCCCCTGCATCACTGGCAAGTCGTACGAGGTGGTGCACATTCGTTGGTGTAAAGAGCGGTTTCTCCAATAACACCTTGCGCAACACATAACAGTATGCGGGGCAGTCGAGCGCGCCGCCGCGCGAGCATGCTAAAATCAGCAGCAACATCATATCCTTGCGAACGACCAAACCATATGCAGCTGAGCGTACCGAAAGACACGTGAGATGGAGGCTGGAGACAGACACCGCATGCGGACCCTGCCGCTCTGGCCTTCGGTGGAGTTCCCTATGGGGCCACGAAGCGTTGAGGGTTGTGCCGATAGCGGGCGGGGCCGCCATGCAGACCCTGTCACTGCTCGATGACACTTCTTATGAGGCCACGAAGCGTGTCCAGGGTATGTCGGAATGGGGCGGGGCCGCCACGCAAACCCTGCCGCTTGGGCCTTCGGTGGAGCTCCCTATGGGGCCACGAAGCGCCGAACTGAATGGGGCGGACGCGCGCGAACGTCGCCATTGGGGCCTTCGGTGGAGCTCCCTATGGGGCCGCGAAGCGCCGAACTGGGTGGGGCGGACGCGCGCGAACGTCGCTATTGGGGCCTTCGGTGGAGCTCCCTATGAGGCCACGAGGCGCTGTACTGGGTGGGGCGGGCGCATGCGAACGTCGCCATTTGGGCCTTCGGTGGAGCTCCTTATTGTGCCACGAGGCGCTGTACTGGGTGGGGCGGGCGCGTGCGAACGTCGCCACCGTGGCCTTCGGTGGAGCTCCCCAAGCGTGCGAGGGGCGTTCCGAACTGGTTGACATGCGGAAGGCAGGGGCGCGCAGGGGAGGAGGGGGGAGGAGGGGCGAGGAGGAGGAGGAGGAGGAGGACGCGGGGCGCTGCCTCTTCAACACGAGGACCCAGCACTACAGGATGGTTGGGAACAAGACGGAGGAGGAGAGTGAAAGACCTCAGGAGGCATGGAGGAGCCATCTGATACACGCTGCTCGAAGGCTCGGCTGCAACCACCGCTTGCTCGCGCTCCCAGGCAGCCGCCGACTTGGGCAGGTCCGAATGGCTGGGAAGCTTACATTGCGAGAGTCTGGCAACATCATCTCTCCCTTCTTTGGTGGCAGGCGAACATCATAATATCACTCTATCATGATAACGATACGTTCCACATTATCCCAGACTTCTTCCTGGTCAGACAAGCCGCAGAAACGAGGGCCACTAGACACTCCGTACTTCTGGGAATGTATCCTTAGCCAGCTGCACCATGACATCACCATCGCCCTAGGGCACCCAGCCTCAAGCTGGTGGCTGTACGACCACAGCGGTTACAACACACACGTGCAACAAAAACGCCCCCAAGAAGCCAAGGCGTCGGAAGTCGTGCAAGGTGAGGCCAACCTCAACCACAGGCCCAGTGACCGCCGACACCGCAGCCGGACCGCACGAGGTGGCGCAACTTCCCGCAAGCGCCTTACGATCGGCAGGCGGCCCAGACCGAGAACCGCGCCGGCGGGCAGCGCGCAGCTCGCTCCTCCGATGCCCGTCGGGCCCTCTCCACGGAGGCCAGGTGATCCTTGGGTCCCCCCCTCCTTCTCCCCCTCCTCCTCCTTCTTCTTCTTCTTCTTCTCCTCCTCCTCCTTCTCCTCCTCCTCCTCCTACTCCTCCTTCTCCTCCTCCTGCTCCTCCTCCCTCCTCCCTCCTTCTCCTCCTCCCTCCTCCCTCTCCCTCCTCCCTCCTCCCTTCCTCCCTCCTCCCTCCTCCCTCCTCTCCTCCCTCCTCTCTCCTCCCTCCTCCCTCCTCCCTCCTCCCATCTTCTTCCTCCCTCTTCTCTCCTCCCTCCTCCCTTCTCCCTCCTCCCTCCTCCCATCTCCTTCCTCGCTCTTCTCTCCTCCTCCCTTCTCCCTTCTCCCTCCTCCCATCTCCTTCCTCCCTCTTCTCTTCTCCCTCCTCCCTCCTCCTGTCCTCCTCCTCCTCCTCCTCCTCCTCCTCCCTCCCTGGGATCTGCCGAAGCGGCATCCGCAGGGGCCCGCCCAGCCCGCCCTCGGACGAGAGCCGCCACAACACCGCACTGGACCGCTGGGAGGCGGAGGGACCGAGGCCCCGGTCCGGTGGCGCTCCGCGGCCGCGCCCGCTGCCACATCGGCGGCGGCATCGCCGAGTGCGAGGAACCGCTCACGCTCCGAGAAGGTCGGGCGACTCTCGCCATCGCTCGGACGTCCATTCCCTGTTTCTTTCGGTTTCGTGCGTGTTTTTTTCTGCAAATGGTCAAGGATGCTCCTCGATGGTCCTCGCCGAGGAAAAAACGCACACGTCCGAGCGATGCCAGGGACTCGCTCGGGATCAGCATGTGAAGGAGCCCAATCGGCTGCAAACACACCACGAGGACTGGACCGTCAAACCCAGGAGGAGCCCGTCAAAGGGCGTCTGCGAGCACGAGCTCTGGGCGATCTCGAGCCTTACGCTTCCCCGATGGTTGCTCTTTGAGATGAGGGGCAACGATAGGGGGGACCAGCTCCAAGGGGGGAAGCATCGAGCTTGCGTGGGCGATACGTCGCCGACAGATCGGCGATATGCTCCCGATAGCGAATCCGCACCCTCCTGGGCGGGCAGGGCCTCCGGGCCCCTGCCGCCGATCCATGGGCGAGAGAGCAAGAGGAAGCCAGGACGAGGACAACACCGCGTGACGATACACCGGGCACCTCTGGGATCCGGCGGCTCCGGGGGATGCCTCGGGCGCCGCTGCCTTCTCGGAGTTGTGGAGGGTCGAAGGGTCAGCTCTGCAGACACCCAGGAGAAACTTTCACCGCGCGCTTTTACCGCCCCGCTTGACGCCCTCCCTTGGCGCCCCCCTCGATGCACCCCTTGATGTCCCCCCTTCCTGGTGGTCCTGCAGGGGAGGGCGCTCTCTGAGAGCATTCCGGAACGCTCTGGCACGGATCTATCCTCGTCCTGGCTCCGTCCGAGAGAGCAAAACAAGAAAAAGCGGCATCAACATAAACTTTCGACGGTCCGCGCGGATCCCTTGGATCTGCGCTGGACCCACCTCTCTGGCGCGCGGAGCGCGCCAGGGGCGGCGCCAGAGGCGCCGCCGGGGGGCCCAGGCGCCGATCCAAGAAATCCTTGCGGAGCTCCGAAAATTGATGTCCATAGCGTTCTTTCTTCTTCTTCTTCTTCTGATCATGCTTATTATTTCTACTACTACCACTACCACTACCACTACCACTACTACTACTACTACTACTACTACTACTACTACTACTACTACTACTACTACTACTACTACTACTACTACTACTACGACTACACTACGACTACGACTACGACTACGACTACTACTACTACTACTACTACTACTACTACTACTACTACTACTACTACTACTACTACTACTACTACTACTACTACTACTACTACTACTACTACTACTACTACTACTACTACTACTACTACTACTACTACTACTACTACTACTACTACTACTACTACTACTACTACTACTACTACTACTACACTACCACTACTACAACTACAACTACAACAACAACAACACCTACTACTACTACTACTACTACTACTACTACTACTACTACTACTACTACTACTACTACTACTACTACTACTACTACTAGTATTATGGTAATTGTTTCTACTATTTTTCTCAGTACTGCTACTACTATTATCACTATTACGGCTATTCGCATGAGCGTGCTCGAGAGTACTATTATTATGCTTATTATGCTTATTTTGTTTCTTACGATTATGCTTAGTAGCATTGTTACTATTATTGTTGTTGCTATTGCTGTTCTTATTATTGCTGCGATAAGTATGATTACTAATATTATCATGATTGTCAATATTATGACTATTATGAATTTTTGGTTATTCGTACTGTTATCACGATTACTACTATGACTCATCCTATTATCCTCCGAAGGACCCCCCCCGCGCGAGGTCCGGCACCGCGCCGCTGCCGAGCGCTGGTGCGACCGGCGCCGGCTCCGCGAAGAGGTCCAGGGACTCCAGGTCGCCGCAGAGGGGGCCAGCCTTCGCGGGCGGCCGGGCCGGCCCCGCTGAGAGGGGGGGGGGGCTGGGCCTGCGCCCTCCGCCCTGGCGCCCTCGCCTCCTCGTCGGCGGCCTCCTTCTCGCTCCTCGCTCCTCGCTCCTCCCAGCTGCCTCCTCGCTCCTCGCTCCGGGCTCCCGGCTCCTCTCCCTCCTCGCTCCTGGCTCCACGCTCTCTTCGTTTCTCCTCCTCTCCGCCTCGTCGGCGGCCTCCTTCTCGCTCCTCGCTCCTCGCTCCTCCCAGCTGCCTCCTCGCTCCTCGCTCCGGGCTCCCGGCTCCTCTCCCTCCTCGCTCCTGGCTCCACGCTCTCTTCGTTTCTCCTCCTCTCCGCTCCTCGCTCCTCGCTCCTCGCTCCTCGCTCCTCGCTCTTCGCTCCTCGCTCCTCGCTCCTCGCTCCTCGCTCCTCGCTCCTTGCTCCTCCTCCGTCTCCTCCGTCTCCTCCGTCTCCTGCGTCTCCTCCGTCTCCTCCTCCTCGCTCCTCCCTCTTCCTCCTCGCTCCTCCCTCTTCCTCCTCGCTCTTCCTCCTCCCCCTCCTCCTCCTCCTCCTCCTCCTCTTCCTCCCTCTTCCTCCCTCTTCCTCCCTCTTCCTCCTCCTCCTCCTCCTGCTCCTCATCTCCTCCTCCTCCCTCTCTCTCCTCCTCCTCCTCCCTCCTCCTCCTACTCCTCCTCCTCCTCCCTCCTCCTCCTCATTCCTCCTCCTCCTCACTCCTCCTCCTCCTCCTTCTCCTCCCCCTCCCCCCTCCTCCTCCTCCTACTTCCTCCTCCTCCTCCTTCCCCTCCTCCTCCTCCTCCCTCTCCTCCTCCTCCTCCTCCTCCTCCTCCTCCTCCTCCTGCTCCTCCTCCTCCTCTTGCTCCCGCGACCTGGGCACCCGGCCCAGCTTTAGAGCCGATGTCCACCAGCCGTCCGACATCTGCCGAGCGAGGGCCGCGCTGCTACACCTGTCTGATACTACCTACTGCTGTTCCCACTGCTGCTGCTGCTGCTCTTCCTCCTAAGGCGCGCCCTGCTCTTGGCAGCACGATGTGCGCCCGCCTCGTTCACGCGAGACTCACGGCCTGGCAAGGCTCTCAAGCCACGGGGCTCAGCGAGAAACGAGGAGGGGAGAAGTGAGGGAAGGGAAGGGATAGGGAGAGAGAGAGAGAGAAAGAGAGAGATAGGGCGAGGGAGGGGAAGCTGGAGGACGGGGGGGGAGGGAGGGAGAGCGGGGCCAGTGAGGAGAGGGGGGGAGTGGGTCGAGGGAATGGATGGGATACGACCCAAAGACGAGACGAGCGATGGAGTCGGGCGCGCTCCGCTAGGGAGTCCGCCCGTGCCAATTAAGGCATGGCGTTGAGGCCGTAGCCTTAGGAGGAAAAACCACGCGAATTCAACCAACAAGCGAACTGGTCGCTCACTGGGGATGTTGTGGAATGCGAGTATTGGTGGGGAAGGCGTTGTCGAACAATCAGAGTTGGAGGTGGAGAGATAGATGGACGGGTGCTGGAGTCGGAGCTGTAGTCAGAAAGATGAGAACACGAATTGGGAAGATTAGCAGACGCCTTGAAGGCGCCAAAATAATCAATGGCTGCCAAGAAAAAAGAACGCAAACAGCTTGTATGGCTCGTTTCCTTCGGACACGTTTGCCTCACGGCGAGATGGAGGCGAGCAAGGGAGGTCTCCAGAGAGGTCCGCTTGTCTATTTCGGCACGCCCCTCGCACAGAAATGAGAGCTGGGCGTCTGTGCGTGAAAATCGCCTGCTTCCAAACTGATGGGAAGTCACTGATGGGAAGTTGCGCTTTGGACGCCAGAGCTGGACATGGAAAACAGATGCCACTAACAAATGCACTCCCAAACCGACAGCGGCCGTTGCTGGGTAGGTGCCTCAAATGGACGGCGACCATGGCGACACCGACAGCGAACCCTGCTCAAAATGATCAGGAACAACTGTCGGTCTTTGTAGCCATTCTCTCTGGACGGCAAACTCGTGCCGTGTCGAACCCGGCGTTGGTTCCCGACATCGCGGGGATCGTTCAACCTTGAACGATCTGCCGTTTCCAGAACGTCAGATCGTTCACCATCGACCGATTCTGGGTCGCCGGCAACGTTCAACGTTGACCCGGCGGTCTTTGGAAGGTCTCCAGGTGCGGAGGAGGAGGAGGAGGAGGAGGAGGAGGAGGAGGAGGGAGGAGGAGGAGGAGGAGGGGGGAGAGGGAGGGAGGAGAGGGGAGGGGAGGAGGAGGAGACCTTCTTTTTGGGCCCAGGCTGCCAGGGGCACCCCTACAACGCCCCCCCCACGACCCTGGTCAGAACCACCACCTCTGCGTGGTCTCCAGGTCCAGGAAGCTCCAGGAGGCCTCCCGAGGCCCCTGGGGCCTCTGGAGAGGCCTGCAGAGGCCCGCGGGAGAGGCCCAGAGCGCGCCCCCAAGCGGGCCGACAACTTCGGTCTTCCTCCTCCTCCTCCTCCTCCTCCTCCTCCTCCTCTTCGATCTTCCTCGATTTTACTCTTCCTCGTCCTCTTGCCCCTCGATCTGCCTCCTCCCACTCCCCCTTGATCCTCGCCATCGCTCCCCCCTCCCCCTCCCCTCCCCCTCCTCATCGAGCCCCCCTCCCGCACCCTCCCTCCTCCCACCCTCCCTCCCTCCCCTCACCCCGCTCCTCCATCCCCAAGTGTCTCGCGCTCCACTCGTTTCGATGCGTGGCCCGGGAGGTCTGGGCATCTTCCCTACTGGGATCGATGCGGGGAGTGTGCTAAGGGGATGGGAGGGTTGTCAGTGGAGGCCAAGGCGCGTCATATCTGGCCTAGCCTAACGAACAAGTGGGTTACAAATGCCCCAGATAGCTGAGAGGGGGATGACAACTCCGCTAATGGCTGAGCGGGGGATCGTTAACCCCACTAAGCTACTTGGCACATTTGTAGCCCACTTGGAAGCTAGGTTTGGCCAGATATAACCCACATTGGCATCCACTGATAGCCCTCCTATGCCCTTCGCAACCCCCGCATCGATCCCAGTAGGGCTGGTATTTCATCCCGAATCGTTCTTTGACGGTCCCGGGGCCCGTGGAGGGCCCCCGGAAACAGAACGTGGCCCCAAACTGGCCGCCCCAACTGTTTCGTGTTTCGGAGCCTCGGATTTCCGGGTCCCTCTCATGCCCCTCCCCTCCCCCCTCCTCGAGCTGTTTGCTGTTTTTTTTTTGTTGTTTTTTTTGTTTTGTTTTGGTGTTTGTTTTTTTTTCTTCTCTCCTCTTCTTCTTCTTCTTCTTCTTCTTCTTCTTCTTCTCTTTTTTATTCGCACACATGGCAAAATGACCACATAGATGTTTCATGTATACTGCATTTTTTATGCCAACAACTACAAGACCTTCTTCCATACTTTCTAACATAAGAAATACTTTTTCACGGACTTCATCTTTGCATCGTAGCTGTGCCATATCGTATGTCCCAGAATCTCTGATGCCGATCGGTTGGCTGCATGCCCCCCATGGCAACTCCGCGCGTTCCTGGGCGGGCAGGGGCCGTCGGACCCCTGCGGCGACCCACGGCCGACGGGGGGGTCGTGATGCGCTCCCACCCGGGCCCGTCCCCCCCCCCCCCCCAGCTGGAGGCCTCCTGGATGGTGTCCGAGTGCCCATCGGCCGGAAGCAGCAGGTGGAAACACGAAGCAGGAAGGCGTGGAAAGCAGAATCCAACCAGTGTAGCAAGGATGCTCGATGAGGATGTAAGGGCCTTGGAAGCTCATTTCGAAGCTTGTCGAGCGGGGCGCGGCCAGCGAAGGTGGCCAAGGATGGACCTTGGAGGCAATTATGCAAGGGTTCCCTTGTGAAGGTTTACCATCCTTACTGTGCGGGTTGACTGTAGATTGGGTTCCGCCCGCCCCCAAAGTTGGACGGAAGAGGTGAAGCCACTCGATCACTGCAGTAGGAAGGAGCTTCAAGCAGATTGGGATCTGGGAATCCAGAGACACCTGCTTTCAACGACCGATGCGTAGAAGGGGTCGGAGGATTGCACCGCATCGGCGATGCATCGGCGACGTCGGCGGTGCCGCTGGGAACCAACGAAACATCCTGAACACCTGGAACCTAGACGCCGTGAAAGTCGTTCCCCCTATCGTTGTCAACTTTCTCGAGCCACCTCCCGCCCTCCCGCGTGTGCGCCAAGGGCCCGCCAGGGGCCGAGCAGGAGATCGACTGCAGACTTTATGTACTCAAGGAAGGCTAGACATGTAACACCTGAGCGGGGTAACAGACCCACCATGGAATCCAGAGGGAGAGATTGCAACGGCCAGAGCAAGAATCAGCACGGCAGTGTTCTGCAACGCGAAAAACGACACTGCGTTGTTTCTGTAACTAGAGGCGGAAAAGCTGCAAACACGCCCCACAGACCGGGCAGCACAGGGCCCAAACCGAACCGTTGTGCAGCAACCGAACATGTCCAGCGCAGACAACATGCGGCAGGTCCTGCATCGAAAGCGAAATCCGAAACACATGCACTGCAACAACGTGCGCATTTGTTGTCCCGAACTCGCCGTTTCCTGTTGCCCCGTCTGCTGCTGCCCCGTCTCCGCTTCCCGGACATCTACCCCAATACTGTTTTCCCCTGAAGCCTACGCGACATGCGTAGAATGCTCCGTAGATCTACGCGGCATTCCACGTATGTGTCGTAGTTTCTATATATATATATATATATAGAAATATGTGTATATATATGTGTGGGGCAGGCGGGGGGTGAGCGATAACTCATCGAATTAAGGAGAAATGTCTTTCCCACTTCAATCGGCCAAAGCTGTTGACAGAGCTTAAACTCCCATGGGCACCTATATTTATATTTACAGAGGCCTCTGCACGGAGCTCGAAAAGTCTACTCTCTTTTGCACGGACCGACCCCCCACGCCAGAGCACAGACCGCACCCCGAGGCCAGAGCTGGATTCGCAGACCACCATCCGCAGACTGGGGTCGGCCACCATCACGGGAGACTGGGGCCAGAACGCTCCGCGGCCTCGGGGGCCAGGGGAGGCTCGACGGCCTTGGGGGGGCCCAGCAAAGAGAACCCCCTGAGAGCCCAGCAGGACCGTGCCCAAGAAGCTCGAACTCTCGCGAGACTCAATGATGCATTCGCCACTTAGGGCGGTATGTGGGTGGGCCAGAACAGCTGCCATGCAAGCGAATGCGGCCGATGTGACACGCTACCCCCCTGACGCCCACACATCTACCGAAAACGTATACATGTGTGGGGCAGGCGGGGGGTGAGCGATAACTCATCGAATTAAGGAGAAATGTCTTTCCCTCTTCAATCGGCCAAAGCTGTTGACAGAGCTTAAACTCCCATGGGCACCTATATTTATATTTACAGAGGCCTCTGCACGGAGCTCGAAAGGTCTACTCTCTTTTGCACGGACCGACCCCCCACGCCAGAGCACAGACCGCACCCCGAGGCCAGAGCTGGATTCGCAGACCACCATCCGCAGACTGGGGTCGGCCACCATCACGGGAGACTGGGGCCAGAACGCTCCACGGCCTCGGGGGCCAGGGGGGGCTCGAAGGCCTTGGGGGGGCCCAGCAAAGAGAACCCCCTGAGAGCCCAGCAGGGCCGTGCCCGAGAAGCTCGCCAACTCTCGAAAAAGACACCGAAGCTCTCCATTCTGTGTTTTTTCCCCTGGCCGTAGGCCGAAGATATACAAGCCTGGCGACGGCAGCACGGGCAGCAGCTCGCACCAGACATCAAAAAATATTGCAGCAGGCCACGGGCTGCAAAACGCTCGGACTCGAGCGAAAAGTGTATTAGAGAACTGCTGGAGCGTCGGACGGGTGCGATCCTGGAGCTTCATCTCGGCGATGATGGCAGCCCCGTCTTGGATGTATATCTGTGCCGTTCTTGCCGAGCTCCAGCGCCCACGCAGCATGACCTTAGACGAGTCGCCCGACAGCGGGAACTCATGCGCGGCACCTCCGCGCCTCAGGCTGTAAGGAGACAGGGCGAGGTGCTTGCGACCGATCTGCTGGAGCCCAGTACGGAACAAGTCGTGAAAGGCGCGCGTTGTGCCAGGCCAGGGCCGGCTGTCACGCTGGAGCTGCGCGTGGACGACTGCCCCAACCAGCGGGTCGTCAAGCGTGACTTGCCCCCGCGCGCCCTTCTGGCAAGAGGTCTTGGTCCAGGGCAACGACGCCGCGCCTCGGCCACAGGGCTTCAGAAAGATGACGCCGCCGCTCAGCCCCAACGCCTCGCCAGTGCGGAGACAGAGATGGAAGGCCACGAGCAGCGCGGCCGCGAACGCCACCACTCCGCGGCTGAGCGCCCAACCGGCGAGCGCCGTGCAGACCTGGGCAGGCATCGGCGGCGCCCGCTGAGGGATCTCCAGTCTGCCCCAGACCGTCAGCAGCTGCCGAGCGCCAGGATAGCGGCGCCGTGTCCTCAGCAGGTGCTGCGCGCCGCTGAGGGTGTCATTGGCTTCTCCTTTTGTGGCGCCCTCGGCCCACAAGTGCTCAAGATAATCTTGCAGGCAGATATCAATATCGTCCCAGGTGAAAGGCAGCGGCAGGTTATTGGCAGCAAGGTAGTCAACAAAACGCTGAGCGGCGCCACGGTAGCGGGCCAGTGTCGAGGCCTTTATCCTGGCGTCTTTCAGCTTCCCCAGTCCAGCTCTGGCGGCGCGGCGGTCAGCAGGGCTACTTTGCTTCTTACCCATCGCGGAGACGCGAGGGGGCGTCCGCGGGGTTGCGAGCCGACGACGTGAAGCCGAAGACCGCCCGCGCGCCCATCGCAAGCTCCCACGGCGAGAAGGTCCGCACCACCTTATTGAGCTGAGGACTGCTGGAACGGTGCTTGGACAGCGCACCGATGTTGACCATGCTGTCGAGCAGGTGCAGGAAGACGCACTAGTGGCGGCGCACCGACCGCGCCCGCCATCGAATCATCATCAGCACGCCCTGGCACTCAAGAGCGTTGATGTGCTCTGCTGCATCCCGCACTAGCTGCCTTGCCTTGCGCCACCGCCAAATGCCTGAGTCGATCTCCTGCCGCGGGAAGATCTTGCCGAGCGCCTCCGAGGCGCCATCGGTCCTGATGTCTGCTCCGTTGTTGTGGCACGCCATGACGAGCCCCATGACGATGCGTCTGGATGCGTCCAGCTCGCGCCACTCCACCACGTCACGCTTCGCCAACTCCGCCAAGAGGATGTCGGCATGGCACGCCTGGTCGGGCCCACAGTGACAGACCAGCAGGGCCCCGCGCAGCGTCTCCAAGCTCTGCAGGAGGGCGGGCTGCGTGCGGATCCAACCAGCGAGCAGGGCAACGGCGTCCTCGCGTGACCGCTCGGGGCTGATCGTGAAAGGGTTGCCCCACCGCGAGGCAGCCAGCCCCCAGCGGCGAGAACCACGACCCACGTAGATGGGCCCGCCAGCCTGGTCCAGCTTGGCGTGCAAGCCCTCGTCGATCTCGGAGCGACCGCACCGCAGCGACGTCACGTCGCCGGCCCACAGCTTCCTGCCACCAGCCCAGGCTCGCGCACTCTCGTGCAGCTCACCCAGCGAGGGCACCGAGACCAGCAGCCCAGCTCCGACGGCCCAGTGGCTGATGATCCAGGCCACGACCTCGCACTGGAAGGAGTTGCCCACGAGCGACCGCCGAAGAGCCTCGTACTTGGCGGGCTCGGCCTTCGCCTGGCTGCTCGTATGCACGGCACGGTGTGGCCCTCCGGGAAGCCCATCAGCTTCTCTCGTATGGTCGCGTCAGGCGGCTCCACGCGGCCATCCGCCTGGTGGATGCACCACTTGTCACGGAACTGGTAGGGCGGCGAAGCGAAGCCCGCTGCCTCCCAGCGCGCCAGCTCAGCAGCGCTGCACTCCCCGATGCCCGCAGGCCTGGGGCGCGGCTGCGAGCGCGGCGTCCAGCGCACGAAGGTCGGGGGCGGCTCCCCTGCAGCGGGACCCGGACACACAGCCCTGGGCGGGAGCCACTCCTCGAGCGGCGGCCGCTCCGCCTTCAGCGCCACCTTGCAGGCGCGCCGAACGTCCTGGGTCTTGGCCCGCACCGCGACGGGCTCAGCCTCGAAGGACGGCAGGAGGTCCCACGAAGCCCAGTAGAGCCGCGGACGTCTGACCCAGCCGACATCCCCCGCCTCAATCTCCAGCAGGAGGCGGCCGAAGAGCTGGTTCAGGCGCAGCACGTCGCACTCGGGCATCGACGCGACGTTCTCCCCGAGGAAGTCGATCGACGCCTCCGGCATGGCCGTCCGCAGCCCGTCCACGATCCGCACCATGTGGTCAACCAGGCCCGCGCGCGGGTCGTCGAGGCCCTGCCGAGCGACGTTGAGACCCGCGAAGACCTGGCACGGGAAGCCGCCCACCACCAGCACACGTGACACGCGGCCTCGGGCGCGCAGCAGGGCTGCCAGGGCCACCGGGTCCGCCTCCGTCACGTCCCCCAGGTGCTGCGTGCTGGGGTAGCTGCGCCGGGCCACCCGCACCGCCGTGGGGTCCACCTCGAATGACAGGTGCACGGCAGGGACCAGTCCGAGGATCTCGAGAGCCCGGCGCCCGCCGCCGATGCCGTCGAAGACAGTCACGAGGCCGGTCTCCTCCTCGCAGGCGGCGTTCGCGGGCCGCTGCCGCCTCTCGGCCAGCGCGCGCCCGCGGTCGGAGAGGGCGTAGCCGTAGACCACGGCGCCGGCGGCCTCCGAGGCATCCGACGCGGTCACCAGGGGGTCGACCTCGAGGCGCAGGTCAGCGACGCAAAGCCCTGACAGCGCAAGGCGCATCAAGAGGTCCTCGACCACGCTCACACTGAAGCGGCCGCCAGTGCGCGGGTTCGCGAGCCACTTCCAGGTGTAGGCAAAGCTGGCCGCCAGCGGCCGTCGAAAGCAGTGAACACGAACCCAGCGGCCCAGCAGAATGCGCACCAGCCGCATGCTGGCCCGCTTCTTGCTCAGCGTCCACAGCGTGAGGCTGGCCATCTCGGTAAGGTAGCCCGCAGGGGGCCGCCGAACGCCCTCGACCCCGTCGACGAGCTCCCCCAAGGTCGTCGCTCGCGGCACTCGATGGATGTCCTTGGACGGCGACCCCGGGGAGCCCGCAGCCGCATAGCAGAGGCGGGCCTCGGAGATGAGCTCGGGCACCGTCCCTCGCAGCGTCGCGGCCTCGGACTTGCCCACGACCTCCGCGACCTCCAGGTTGTCAATGTAGACCATCCACGCCGGAGGGCACGGCTTCTCCACGCTGAACGGCAGCCGTCGGCGCCGAGTGATCTCCTGGCTGGGCGACAGGCCGCGAGGGACAGAAGCGCTCCGCCGCAGCATGTTTCGGTGGAGGTGGGTCGTCGCGCCCGCGGCACTGATCCAGCCTATGCCGATCACCCGCAGGCAGATGTGCGTGGTCCCACCGTCCTTCAGGCCAAGCAACTCCGAGGGGACGGGCGGCCGTATCACCATGTAGGGCCACCGCACAGGCGGCGCGCGGAAGACGTAGAAGAAGGCCTTCCTGTCCGCGCCGCTCCACAGGAGATCCTCCGACTCGGTCAGCACCAGGCCGTTCAGCTGGCTCATGGTCGGCATCTCAGGGGTGTCTCCCACGATGCACTCCTGGCACGCGTTCGAGGGGATGAGGTTGGTGATCGGCCTCAGGACCGGCCTGCGCTCGCCGTCGCTGCAGACCACGGGCTCATCGTGGGGCTTGGGCACCCCGAGCGCCCCGTTCAGGAGCGGGGCTCCGTCGCGACAGGCAATCTCGCTGCTCGGGATCGCCGACGCCATCCCGCGCTCGTGGAGCGCCCGCACGATCCGATGCCACTCCTCGAGCGAGGCCCACGCTCGTGCAGATGTCGGCGCGGGCCGCCGCAGGGCAGCGGGCAGCAGCACCAGCGTCGGGTCCAGGAGGGCCTCGCGCACGAACCCCGTCGCGAGGTCGGCCGCCTCGATGGGGGCCGCGACACCTGGCGGCGGCAGCCCGTCCAGCACCTGCTCCAGCGTCAGCCGATGCGGGGGCGAGATCTCGCCCCCGCCGTAGCCGATCTTGCGGTCCTTCAGCCGCGCGTTCCAGTCAAGATCTGGCGGTAAAGCAGACTCGGCCCGCGTAGCCGAGAGGAGGCGGCGGCCGAGAGCGACCAGGGCTGCCTGCTGCGCGGCGTTGGCTCGACCTCGGCAGGGCCTGGCCAGCTTCAGGGAGCGGAACCCAGACTCCCAGTTTAGCGCCAGGACAGTGACCACCAGCCTGCAGTGTAGTCCTTCCCACTCCTTGTCGCTCAAAGGGTCCTCGCCCTGCTGGGCGATCTGGGACCTGGTGATAGAAAGGTATGGTAACGGCAACAGATCTCGCTGAAGCCGACCTCCCATGTCGGCCGGATGCTCGCGTGGCTTTACCTCGAGGGAATATCTGGTGAAGCGACCGAAGGAGCCTGGGAACTGGCGGACTACGTTCAACAACACGGGGCCCACGTCGAAAGGTTCTCGCAGAAGATCACTCGCCGCGCCAGCCCACTCGCGCCACTCTGCCAGCGGATCACCGTCACAGTCGGCGTCCGTACCACAGGCCGGCGGGCGCGACGAGGGCGCTGGGCGGCGAGCAGCGGCAGCACCACCACGGTCAGGAGCCAATCTCGGAGGCGGCGAGCGCGACGGTGAAGTCCAGGGCGGTCTGCGCGAGTGGGCAACCTCGGCAAACTCGGTCGCGCCCGCGCGCGCATCATCAGCGCTGGCACCATCAGCTCGCTGCCTCACCTCAGCGTCGCAGGAAGGCCGCCTCGGCCTCGGCCCCGGTGCTTCCTGCCGCCACGGCGGCGGCCGCTCGGGGGGGCCGGGCCTCGCGGCGGACCTTGCTGCAGGCCCGCTGCCGCCGCAGCCGCGGGCTGGTCCTGCCTGAAGACGTGGCGCTCCGGGCTCGTCGCCAGCGAGACGCGCCTCGGCCCGTCCGCCGCCTTCGGGTGCGGGCTGTCGCCTCGAGGCGTCCTCAGCGCCCCCGGAGACGGCGACCTGCCCGCGCTGCCTGAGCGCGCTGCGCCTGGCGGACCCGCGGGCGGGGCTGCGGCTGCGGGCCCTGCCCAAGGCCGTACTGGGCTCCCCGCCCGCAGGGGGAAGAAGCGGCCTCGGCCGCGCCCGCGGCTCCTCCCGCGACCGCGGCCCTGCTGGCGGCTCGGCGAAGGCGAGTGGGCTCCGCCGCTCCCGCGCCTCGCCTCGTCGGCTCAGGCTTGGCGCTCGCCCTGGCCCCTGCCGCCGAGCCCGCCGCGGCTCTTCGCGTCCATCAGCTTCCTGCGCAGCAGCGCCACCCGCCGCGCCAGGTCCTGCTCGCCCATCGAGGCCAGCGAGGGCCGCGTGTCCGGCACGATCTCCAGCTCGCTCGCCACCTGCCAGCTCGCGTCGGACAGCGACAGCTCCAGAGCCCTGAAGCGCTGCATCAACACGTCGCTCAACTCCGCCAGGCACCCACTCTCCAGCAGGTCCAGCGCGGCCGCCAGCGTCTGCAGCTCCCGCTGAGTGTTGACCCGCATCTGCCCCGGAGGGTGATGGCCGAACACCGCGGCCTGCAGGTAGCCCACGACCTTCGCTCGAACCTCTGAGCCGTCCGCCCCCTTCCGCGGGCCCATGACGCGCCCGATGTTCTTCATCGCCTCGTCGTGCAGGGCACCTGGGCGCTTCTCCGCCAGCAGCCGTGCGCTGCCGCCGCGGGAGGGGGCCTCGCGAAAACGCGACTCACCGTCGTCGTCGCTGCGCGAGGCCGAGGAGCTCCGGGGGCGGCGGCGGCCGCGACCGCCACCAGCGCAGCCAGGCGTCGCCGCAGCAGCCTGCGCGCGCGCCGCGGCAGCTGCCGCCAGGCGGTCGGGGGCCGCGCCCCCGACTGGGGCGGCCCCCGCCAAGGCGCCGCCGCCGCCGCGCCCACCGAAGGCGCTCGGCCGCACCCACGGCTCCACGAACCCGCGGTTCGAGCGCAGCCGCAGCCACTCGACATCCAGGGCTCCTCGGCCTGGCACAGCGGGCCCCGCGCAGCGCCGGTCCCTGCCCGCGCAGGTGCAGGAGGCCCGCAGGCCCGGTGCCGCGCGGCGGGAACAGGCCGTCCAGCCGCATCGCCTCGGCCGCCAGCGACGCCCCCCTGAACTGGGCGCTCAGGTACTGCCCAGAGGGGCCCGTGGTGCCGATCTCCTCCACCTCGAGGAGGGCAGTCCCGCTGATGCCTCCAGCTGCGTCGAAGGTCGGGAGCTCGAGATTCACACCTCGGCGCCAGTCGGCGCCAATCAGAGTCACGGCCTGACGCCACGGACCGTCCACGAGTGGTCCCAGCTGCGCGCCGCCCGCTGGGGCGATCGGACCGCCTGCCACCGCGATCGGCACGCCAGGGATCGCCGGGGCCCCCGGCACCGCACCAGGAGGAGGGCCTCCAGGAGGGCCGCCGCCGCCGCCCGCGAGCGCGCCCACCAGCGCGGCGCCCGCGCCGCCGGGGGGAGCACCTCCGCCGTCAGGCACGGCGCCGCCCGCCGGGGGCGCCCCAGCAGCCGCGCCGCCTCCGAAACCCGGCAGGCCGGGCAGCGCCGCCAGGCCAAGCACCACGGGCGCGCCGGCACCGCCGCCCGCGGGCGCGGCCGCCGCGGCGTCGCCGACCGCCGCGGCCGCCGCCAGGCCCGGGGCAACAGGCGGGAAGGCGGCGGCGCCTCCGCCTCTCCCCGCGGCTCCTCGCCCGAAGCCGCCGGCGCCGCGCCCTCGGCCGCGGGCGCGTCCTCGGCCCAAGGCCTTCGCCTTAGCCTTAGCCTTGGCCTTGCCCTTGGCGACGGCCTTCGCCGTCGGCGCCATCGAGCCCCAGGCCGGCGAGCGCGGAGAGCAGCGCGCCCAAGAGCCGGGCGGAGTCGAGCAGCGCCGCCCTCTCCTCCACGCTGAGGCGGGCGCGCCACGCCGCCTGCCGAATTAGCCCGATGATGTAGCACAGCTCGCAGACCTCCAGGAGGGACCCGCCCTCGGCCAGGGCCAGCGACTCCCCTCGCCCGAGGGGTCCCGCGCACCACCCGCAGTATTGCACGGGCGAAGGGCGCGGCACGGTGGTCCCGGGGGCGTCCATGCCCTCCCTGGAGGGCGCGGAACCAGCCAGAACAGCTGCCATGCAAGCGAATGCGGCCGATGTGACACGCTACCCCCCTGACGCCCACACATCTACCGTAAACGTATACATGTATATACATATATTTATTTATGCAATTTTGGGGTGGCTCGATTCTGTAGCCGACCGTCTGTAATCAAAACGTGTATCACGGACGGGTGGCAGGGACGCAAGGCCCTTGGAGGCCGACATTGGGATCTTTTGGGCGGCGGGCGAACAGGGAGAACGGCAAAGGACGGGCTGCAGAGTCAAGGACACAAGAGTCCCCCGGATGAAGGCGCTCGTCCTTACTGCATTTCCTTCGAAATCAAACGCAAGTTTCTCCCGCGACCCAGGGCCCCCAACTCTCAACGTTCGCGCCGACATTGGTGACTGCAAACATACAGTTCTGACCCCGTGGACCGCGTTTCGCGCGTCGACCAACATCAAACATAGAAAAATCAACAACGGCATTCACATGAACTTTTGGCGCTCTGCGCGGATTTCGAGGATCTGCGCTGGACCCCCCCTCCTGGGCGCGCAGAGCGCGCCAGGGGCGGCGCCGGAGGCGCCGCCGGGGGGGGGGGTACCGCAGATCCAAGAAATCCGCGCGGAGCGCCAAAGTTAATGTTTATGCTGTTCGCCCTTTCGAGAGATACCGTGGCCCGATGGGGAGGAGGAGGAGGAGGAGGAGGAGGAGGAGGAGGAGGGAGGAGGAGGAGGGGGAGGAGGAGGAGGAGGAGGAGGAGGAGGAAGGATGGGGAGAAGTCAAACGATAGAGAAAAAAACAACATCGTTTGATTTCGAGCGGGGTTCTAGGCGCGTTGGCCATACTCGCAGGGCGGGCGCGCGCCTCCCGCGCGGCCGGCTGCTGGTCGAACGTCGCCCAGTTGCCGCTGGCCGCGGGCGGCGGCGCTGCGCTGGCCGCGGAGGTGCTCGCCGGCGGCGGCGCTGCGGGGGGGAGGGCGGGGGCGTGCCCCAAGCGTGCCCCAAGTAGCTCCGCGAGGGCCCCAAGAGAGACCCAAGATGGCTCCAGGAAGCCTCCGAGGAAACGCTGCCAAGGCGGCTGTCGCAGTGCATGCTTTCACACTTCCCTGATCGAAGCAACTCGCCCGGCGATCTGGTTCTGGATGGGCTGGTGGATACTTTTGAGTGCGCAGGCGCGCGAATCAAACCGGACGCCGGGCCGGCAGGGGCCTGCGGAATGAAAAAACAGGGCAACGAGCACGCCGGGACAAGCGGAACTCAGGGACGGCCGGCAGGCGGATGCGGAGGAGCAGCGCCAGGACCGCGGAGCAGGTGCCGGGCGTGAGGAAAAGCAAGCGCCACCAGGAACGGCAAGACGCGGGACCGCGCGCCTCCAGGATACCGTGGCAAGGCCCATCCGCACCTCAGGCGAACAAGGAGGAGTGCCGAAGTCGAAGGTCACGCAACCGGAAAGGTGAAGGCGGAACCAGAGCCCCAAACATGCCGATACTTTTTTGTCGCAGCCGCAAGCGAAGGCGCAGGCGGCGTCAAACGGGACGGGCGGGCCACGCGCGAACCTAATTGCCAAACGCGCCGGCAAACCGGAGGCCTAAGCGGCACCTAAGCGGACCGGAAGCGAGAGGTGGTGCGGGCTGCAGCTGCCAGGAAACAGGCCCAGAAGCGAGCACATGCACAATTAGCCAACCAAGGTTGGGGCGCAGCCAAAATGGCGCGGGAGCGATGCCAGGGTGAAGCCAGCAGCACCATCACGAAGGACCGCAGACACCAGCTAGGCCAGGAAGAACCCACTGACCAGGAAGCTAGTGCATGGAAGTGGCGCCACCAAAGTCGCACGCAACGCTGACAAGTGGCCGCTGAGGGCGAGGACTAGACGTAGGATAAACCACACGAGACATCCATGCACCCAACCCCTGAAGGGGGCAGCTCGCTTGCAACACACTCCAGGAGATAATACTAATACCGATGGCCAGGAATACGTCACTGACCAGGAATAATGAAAAAACATGCCGATACGCGAAGCGTCAATAGTTTGTTTACGCAAGGTTTCGCCTTCGATTCGGCGGCGAACGAGGAGGGAAGTGAGAAGAAGAAGGCCTTCTCAGAAGGCGGCGGGGCTTCTCAGAGGGCCGCCTGGCCTCCTGAGAGGCATGGTGCGTCTTCGGGGGAAAGGCTCAGAGAACTAGCTCAGAAGGCTGGGGGACTCCCGAGCCTTCTGAAAAGGCCCACCCCTTCTCACTTCCCCCGCCTCGCCCGCCGCCGAGAGGGGGGGAGGGGCCCCACGACCAGGCAACAGAAAAAGCAGACATCGTCGTAGCAACTGGCAGATCGAGGACGCCAGCGGCGGAGCCGTCCAGGTCCCGTCTCCTGGCCCTCGCCACCCTCCCGCATCCACCCACGCCCCCCCCGTCCCCTCCCCCGCCTCTGGGAGGGGCGCGGGTGGTGCTGAGGGGATGGGGGGGTTATCGGTGGATGCCAGGGTGGCTTGTATCTGGCCTGGCCTGGCTTTTCTAAGGGGTGGTCGCATATGATCGATCCAGGCCAAATGGGCTCCGCCCACTTCGCGGAATCATCTGATCCGCCCGAACCCACCTGGGGCATCTGTCGCCCACTTGAAAAAAGGCAGGTCAAGCCAGATACAACCCACCCTTGCATCCACTGATAACCACTCTATCCTCTTAACACACCCCGCGCGCATCCAGGAGGTGAGCAAGAGGGGGGGGCGAAGAGGACGCAAGAGGGTGGCGAGGGCCAGGAAACTGGGATCTGGACGGCTTCGCCGCAGGCGTCTTCGATCTATCAGCTGATACCACGATGTTTGTTGTTGTTGTTGCTGCTATTATTGTTGTGGTTGAACTCTCCTTTTTGAAGAATAAGTATTGTCGATCCCCCCCGTCTGGTGCACTTTCTTTTGTTACGTTTGAAGTTTTTTTTTTTTTTTTTTTTTTTTTTTTTTTTTTTTTTTTTTTTTTTTTTTTTTTTTTTTTTTTTTTTTTTTTTTTTTTTTTTTTTTTTTTGTTTTTTTGTTTGTTTGTTTGTTTTTATAAGATAAAAATAAAAAAAATCAAAAACATATAATTATTAAAGTAAACAATAAAAAAGGGAAATCTTGAAGGTCAAGCTGTGTCGTTGGCCCCCGGTTTACAACAACAACAACGACAACAGCAACAACAACAACACCACCACCAACAGCAACAACAACAACAACAACAACAACGGGTCCCGCCTTATATTTCCTCACAATTTATTGAAGAATCGCGCTCTCGCTTGGGACTTCCTTGCCATTTACCACCCGATCGCGGCTCCCGCTTGATACTTCCTCACAATCTATTGAAGAATCGCGCTCTCGCTTGGGACTTCCTCGCAACTTACCACCGAATCGCGGCTCCCGCCTGATAGTTCACCAGAATTTATTCAGATGCCGCTCCTCGACACTCAAGAATCGCGCTCCCGCTACATGCTGCTTGGCGGTTCAAGCAAAATCTACGCTTCAACGACCCGCCCGCTCGACCCGCCCGTCTGGGCATGCCCGCCCGACCAGCCCGTTAGGGACTGCAGTCGCCGCTCGCTGCCCTTCGCCCGCCTTCGATGCCCCTCGCTGCCCGTGCTGGTTCCGCGGTCGCCTTCGCTCGCTGCCCTTCGTGGCCCCGTTGCTGCCCTCAGTGGCCCCGTCGCTGCACACTGTGGCCCCGCATTATCTGCCCTCCGTGGCCCCCGCTCGCAATCGCCCCTCGTGGCCCCATACGTGTGCCCTTCGTTGCCCCGCTGTCGCCCTTCGTGGCCCTCTCGTTGCCCTTCGTGGCCCCTTTGCTGCCCTCAGTGGCCCCGCTGTCGCCCTGTGTGGCTCCATATACGAATGCCCTTCGTGGCCCCCGCTCGTTCGCGCCCGTCGTGGCCCTATATGCATGCCCTTCGTGGCCCCGCTTTCGCCCTTCGTGGCCCCCTCTCTGCCCTTCGTGGTCCCGTTTCTGCCCTCAGCGGCTTTGTTGTTGCCCTTTGTGGCCCCGGATTATCTGCCCTTCGTGGCCCCCGTTCGCTCGCGCCCTTCGTGGTCCCATACGCATGCGTTTCGTCGCCCCGCTGTCGCCATTCGTGTCCCCCTCGCTGCCCTTCGTGGCCCACTTTCTGCGCTCAGTGGCCCCGCTGTCGCCTTTTCTGGCCCCATATATGTATGCCCTTCGTGACCCCCGCTCGTTCGCGCCCGTCGTGGCCCCATATGCATGCCCTTCGTGGCCCCGCTGTCGCCCTTCGTGGCCCCCTCTCTGCCCTTCGTGGCCCCGTTTCTGCCCTCAGCGGCTCCGTCGCTGCCCTCTGCGGCCCCCCTTATCTTATGCCCTTCGTGGCCCCCGCTCGTTCGCGCCCGTCGTGGCCCGCGCCAACAATCGCCACTCACAGCGCAAATCATCGTCCTCCCTCCTTCTTGCCCCTCCCCTCCCTTCCTCCGATCCCTTCGTCCTCATTCTCCCCCGTTATCTTTTACCCTTCGTTTTCCAAGGCTTCACCAACCACGCGTGGCAGGGAATGAATATACCCCCCAGAAGAGGGTTCGATCGGAAACGAAGAGGGCGGGTATCCAGGGTTTGGGATATGCATATTGAATGACACGCGAGCAGGTAATAGCGAACAGTCTCAAAGTGATTGTTGTTGTTGTTGTTGTTCTTCTTCTTCTTCTTCTTTTTCTGGTTGTTGTTGTAATGGGCTACTCATTTCTAAAGAATAACTACTGTTGATTTCTGGAAACGGTTCCGCGCGCTCTCGCCTCGACGCCGGCTACACTTTCTCTGAAAACGAGGCTCCCGCTCGAGTGTTGGCTTGAACCTAATTGTGGGCCCTTGGAGGCCCAGCTACGACAACAACGGCTCCCGTTCGATACTTCCTTACAGTTTACCCCGAGACACCCTGGCCAGAGAGGCCCTCGAACTCAGGAACGGCGTTATCACTGGAGACGTCCTCGCAATTCAATCAACTTGGCCGAGGCCTAGCCACGACGACAACGG